GTCTTCTCGACAGTTACTTTAACATTAGCACTTTGTAATATGTACAGTATGTTTGTGCATTCTGCAGAACAGTCTAGATTTCAGGTGTTGAGCAACTGCTTTTGCAGTAGAAATCCAAATGAAAAACAAATTGTTGTTCAGTTTCATCTTTTGCCTAAAGACGGGCAAAAATAAAGCTGAAATCACGATTATGGCAAATCACAAAGGCTGCTATTTAATTACTGTAAATAAATATAAGATGCAGGTTTCAGAGTGAAGCACGGCACTGTGTTTTTACACATGAGCAGCTCATTATCTGTCTTGTGTTTGCAGTATTTTCTTAAATAGTTGATTGTGTTATTTTACAGTGAAATATTACAGTTGTAATATTTCGTTTTTTATTTAGTCGTTTCTTTATCATAATATAATAATAATATAATATCAACATATTGGCCAAGTTGTGCAGCCCAACAAACAAGCACTGCAAACCTGGATTTAAAAAAAATCACATTTCAAATCGCAAACCGCAGAAAATCAGCAAATGGAAATTTTCAACATTTTATGTGTGAAAATAGCTACTGTCACCCATCTAAATAGTTGTATCATTTGGAAAGTGGATGAGAGTCTTCTTAACGAATGGAAAATTATGTGCAGTTGCTCAAAAATAGGCAACGTGTCGTCACTGAAAATGCATGATTTAACATTACTGTTCTCTTCCAGATTGACCTGATGCCCCATGATGTTATCACCCAGCTGTTGCGTGTCCTCGCTATAGACACCAAGCAGGAGAAAGCTATCATTAATGCAGAGCCCACAGAGGTGTCACTTAGCGGCCTGGAGGCTTTCTCTTTTGACTACATCGTCAAGTGGCCACTTTCACTCATAATCAACCGGTACTCAGCTTTTCTGTATGACTGTATAGCTTTTATTTCAAGCAGCTTGTAATTGTAACTATGGCCCTGTGCTTCTTAAAGAAATAGTTTTGTCATCATTTACCATCAAAAATGTTGCACGTTACACACTATGCTGTTTGAAATGTTGCACAATGTAATTGTCGCACAATTACATTGCAACACTATTGACATATTTTTTGCTTGTGAAATTTTACTGAAAAATATTGTGACCGCATCTTTACAATGAACTACTCCCTTAACACGATGGTCTGTTGTACAGAAAAGCCCTGACAAGATACCAGATGCTCTTCAGGCACATGTTCTACTGCAAGCACGTGGAGAGGCTGCTCTGTAATGTGTGGATCAGCAATAAAGCAGCTAAGCAATATTCACTGCACTCTGCTAAATGGTGAGACTATGTATTTTGACCTTGGACTGTGTATCTTCAAGTGAGCATCTTACTAAGTAGCTCTTGTATATTGTAGGTTTGCTGCTGCGTTTGCATTAAGACAACGGATGCTCAACTTTGTGCAGAACATTCAGTATTACATGATGTTTGAGGTTATGGAGCCCACATGGCACATCATGGAGAACAACCTGAAATCTGTGAGTCAATTAAATAAAAAACTGCTTTATGCTTAATTATGGCTCATGAGTTCAGAACAAGCAGTTATTTTTAAATAGTAAATTTAATTGGATTCAAGTCAGATTTATCTCATTTCTTTCTGGATTAATGACCTGTTATAAGCACAACATTTTCATGCACATGTATCCTTTTAATTAATTAAACTTTAATTCATAAATTGTTTCAGTATATGGCTGTCATGATTCTGAAATTTTGGTTGCTGATTAATTCTAAATAAATAATTATAATAAAAATTTATAAAATATGTTATTTCCTTTAAAGCTAAACAAATATATCAAATGTAATATATGATATTTTACATATTTATATACAATATGTATATTATATATACTATATATTTGACACATACATACAGTACATATATTTATATATAATGCTGGAGTGCTTGCATAATTCCATTAAAATTCCTAAGCCAGTATCCATTATTGGTTTGAATTTAAAGAAAACAGTGATCATGGTTCTCTCAAAAAATTGTAATCAGGCTGTTATGTAATAATCGAGATCTGGCTGAGCACAAATTGAGTTTAAATTAATTCACAGTGCTTTCTTAATTTGCTTGTCTTTTTTTTTTAGGCTTCCAACATTGATGATGTCCTGTGTCATCACACCAGCTTCCTGGATAACTGTCTGAAGGACTGTATGCTCACCAACCCCGAGCTGCTCCGCATCTTCTCCAAGCTCATGTCTGTCTGTGTCATGTTCACCAACTGCATGCAGGTAAATATAGACATTATTGAGAAAAAATGTGGGGTCGGTACCATTTTTTACAAATGTTTTAAAGTCTTTTATGATCACTAAGGATGCATTTATTTGCCCAAAAATACAGTAAAAACAGTAATATTGTGAACCGTTATCTATTTTAATGTATTTTAAAATGTAATATCCCTGTGATGGTAAAGCTAGTTTTTCAGCAGCCGTTACTCCAGTCTTCAGTGTCACATGATCCTTCAGAAATCATTCTAATATGCTTATTTGCTGCTCAAGAAGCATTTATTATTATCAATGCTGAAAACGGTTGTGCTGCATAATATTTTTGTGGAGGCCATAATACGTTTTCTTTGATGAATATAAAGTACAAAAGAACAGCATTTATTTGAAATCTTTTGTAACATTATGAATGTCTTTACTTAAATTTTTTACTTCTGTATAATGCATCCTAGCTATACACTGTATATATATACATTTCTTTAAAATCTTACTGGCTTCAAACTTTTGAACTGTAGTGTACATAATTAAACTGCACAAATTGTAGAACAGTTTATACTGTATATGTATATATGTTTTTAATATTTTATATTAAATTATATAGTTTATTTTTTGTCTCTGGGTCACTATAACGGGATTGTGCATGTTGTGAAATGCATAAATTTGCTGTCATTTCATAATGAAGCTGTCCTGTTATGTCATGCTCATACTGGAGTGTTTATTTTGATTGTTTTGCAGCGGTTCACTCATAGCATGAGGATAGACAGTGAGATGAAGCGGCTAACTTTCGGGAACTCGGCCTCGACTGAGCGGACAGAAGAGGCAGAGAAAAAAAGACTGGCCTCTAAAGTGAGTCATTAGCCCCTTTCACACATACAGACTTTACTGGTAAATTACCAGTAAATTACCGTTAAGAGATCGTGTGTGTGAACAGGACCTTTTCAAACATACCGGTAAATTTGTTCCGGCAATTTACCGTTATGAGAAGTTGTAACGTTACCAGTAAATTAGTTTTCACCGATTACACGTACAAGTTCAGAACACACTGACGTAAGACGTCTACTCTGGGTCAATCCAGAGCCATTGAAATTCAAAATTCAACGGCTCTGGGCCAATCATAACATTCTGAGTATTTACTCTGCATTTACTTTATTTGGTCATTTCTGGTTAATGATGTCACAGAATTTACCGGTAATTTGAAACCGATGTGTGAATGGTGCTTTACCGGTAAAAAGACGGAAAGTAGTTGCCTGTGTGTAAACAGTGCATTTTTGTATTTACCGGTAAATTCGTTCCAGTAATTTTACGGCAATTTACTGGTATTACTGTGTGAACAGGACTATTGGCATTGAATCAATTATTTTACAATACTGAAACTAAAGAGGCACTTTAAAAACAGGCTGTGTAATAACTGAAACCATAATCTGCCAAAAGATAAGAAAAAAAACATATTTTATAATGAAATATTTAAAATAAATAATAATAATATTTTATTTCATCTATTTGTCTTGATCTCAGTTCCTAGCTGAGCATGTGGATGCCCTCCAGTCTGACTCTGGGTTTGAGGCGACCATCAGCAAGTTTGACAGTAACTTCAGCACCTTATTGCTGGAGCTTTTGGATAAGCTCAGCATTTACAGCACCAATGACTGTGAACACAGCATGATCAACATCATCTACAGGTGGGTTGTGAAAAGAACCTTTCATTCAAATTTCCTCTGTACATATATGAGTGCTTAGCAATTTAACCTGGCCCGAGCAGTGACAATAGAAATGTGTAGCGCAAGCTTTGAAATCTCTTACTTTTGAAGAGCTTTTACAACCCTCATTAAAATTCAGTCTTCTCAACAGAGGTGCTATGAATAATGAGATGTCTTTTTATAGGCTGGACTTCAATGGCTTCTACACGGAGAGATTGGAGAAAATGGCCATTGAGAGGAGCCAGAAAACTGCTGCGTAGCATCATCCATTATAAAATTCAATTGTTTTTCAAGTGTTCAATGTGCTGATTTGTTGTCTTTTTTCACAAAAATATGTAGTAATGTTACATGGTGCTGTAACATAAAGCACTTAAGAATTTATCACCAAGTCTTGTTTGATCATTTTCTCCTCTCTGTTGGAAATGTATTTAATGGTCTTGTACAAATTTAATGAATTCCACCTGACTGAACACCCAATATAATAAAGGAAGAATGTAGTTTTGTTCACTGTTCTTAATTCTTCTTTCCCTGCCTCTTTTTCTAAACACAACTGTATTACTTTTACAAACTTATTTTCAATGACAAGAAGACGGAGCCTTAATGTGCTCATGGCATTTGCGTTTATCTAAAGAACTATACTTTGTGCTTGAATATGTCTGACAATCCAAACTAAGCCTGACTTGAGCAACATATTCAATTGGGTAACTTTTTACAGAAAATATTAACATCTGTTTTTGCTCCACTAACAAAAACGGTTCCAAATGAAGCCAAAGAAGCTCATCAACAGCCCAGTTGTTCATAAACTGCTTAGACTAGTCTTGAATAGTTTTTTCAAGACTGGTCATAACTTTTTAAGTCTGTTAAAAAAAGGTAGATTGGTGTAATTTGAATCCAAAAAGTAAGACTGATTACCCCTTGGCTAACTGCTAGCTAGTCAAACTAGCTCTGAAGACCATTTTAACAGTGGCTGTGTTAATGCAGCTGGACCCTGGAATCCCATGTTTTGCAATCCAGGATCAAGTAATCTATTTTACTTCTGTGATTGACATATTTTTTGCTTGTGAAATTTTACTGAAAAATATTGTGACCGCATCTTTACAATGAACTACTCCCTTAACACGATGGTCTGTTGTACAGAAAAGCCCTGACAAGATACCAGATGCTCTTCAGGCACATGTTCTACTGCAAGCATGTGGAGAGGCTGCTCTGTAATGTGTGGATCAGCAATAAAGCAGCTAAGCAATATTCACTGCACTCTGCTAAATGGTGAGACTAAATATGTATTTTGACCTCGGATTGTGTATCTTCAAGTGAACATCTTTTAAGTAGCTCTTGTAAATTGTAGGTTTGCTGCTGCCTTTGCATTAAGACAACGGATGCTCAACTTTGTGCAGAACATTCAGTATTACATGATGTTTGAGGTTATGGAGCCCACATGGCACATCATGGAGAACAACCTGAAATCTGTGAGTCAATTAAATAAAAAACTGCTTTATGCTTAATTATGGCTCATGAGTTCAGAACAAGCAGTTATTTTTAAATAGTAAATTTAATTGGATTCAAGTCAGATTTATCTCGTTTCTTTCTGGATTAATGACCTGTTATAAGCACAACATTTTCATGCACATGTATCCTTTTAATTAATTCAACTTTAATTCATAAATTGTTTCAGTATATGGCTGTCATGATTCTGAAATTTTGGTTGCTGATTAATTCTAAATAAATAATTATAATAAAAATTTATAAAATATGATTCAAGTCAGATTTATCTCATTTCTTTCTGGATTAATGACCTGTTATAAGCACAACATTTTCATGCACATGTATCCTTTTAATTAATTAAACTTTAATTCATAAATTGTTTCAGTATATGGCTGTCATGATTCTGAAATTTTGGTTGCTGATTAATTCTAAATAAATAATTATAATAAAAATTTATAAAATATGTTATTTCCTTTAAAGCTAAACAAATATATCAAATGTAATATATGATATTTTACATATTTATATACAATATGTATATTATATATACTATATATTTGACACATACATACAGTACATATATTTATATATAATGCTGGAGTGCTTGCATAATTCCATTAAAATTCCTAAGCCAGTATCCATTATTGGTTTGAATTTAAAGAAAACAGTGATCATGGTTCTCTCAAAAAATTGTAATCAGGCTGTTATGTAATAATCGAGATCTGGCTGAGCACAAATTGAGTTTAAATTAATTCACAGTGCTTTCTTAATTTGCTTGTCTTTTTTTTTTAGGCTTCCAACATTGATGATGTCCTGTGTCATCACACCAGCTTCCTGGATAACTGTCTGAAGGACTGTATGCTCACCAACCCCGAGCTGCTCCGCATCTTCTCCAAGCTCATGTCTGTCTGTGTCATGTTCACCAACTGCATGCAGGTAAATATAGACATTATTGAGAAAAAATGTGGGGTCGGTACCATTTTTTACAAATGTTTTAAAGTCTTTTATGATCACTAAGGATGCATTTATTTGCCCAAAAATACAGTAAAAACCGTAATATTGTGAACCGTTATCTATTTTAATGTATTTTAAAATGTAATATCCCTGTGATGGTAAAGCTAGTTTTTCAGCAGCCGTTACTCCAGTCTTCAGTGTCACATGATCCTTCAGAAATCATTCTAATATGCTTATTTGCTGCTCAAGAAGCATTTATTATTATCAATGCTGAAAACGGTTGTGCTGCATAATATTTTTGTGGAGGCCATAATACGTTTTCTTTGATGAATATAAAGTACAAAAGAACAGCATTTATTTGAAATCTTTTGTAACATTATGAATGTCTTTACTTAAATTTTTTACTTCTGTATAATGCATCCTAGCTATACACTGTATATATATACATTTCTTTAAAATCTTACTGGCTTCAAACTTTTGAACTGTAGTGTACATAATTAAACTGCACAAATTGTAGAACAGTTTATACTGTATATGTATATATGTTTTTAATATTTTATATTAAATTATATAGTTTATTTTTTGTCTCTGGGTCACTATAACGGGATTGTGCATGTTGTGAAATGCATAAATTTGCTGTCATTTCATAATGAAGCTGTCCTGTTATGTCATGCTCATACTGGAGTGTTTATTTTGATTGTTTTGCAGCGGTTCACTCATAGCATGAGGATAGACAGTGAGATGAAGCGGCTAACTTTCGGGAACTCGGCCTCGACTGAGCGGACAGAAGAGGCAGAGAAAAAAAGACTGGCCTCTAAAGTGAGTCATTAGCCCCTTTCACACATACAGACTTTACTGGTAAATTACCAGTAAATTACCGTTAAGAGATCGTGTGTGTGAACAGGACCTTTTCAAACATACCGGTAAATTTGTTCCGGCAATTTACCGTTATGAGAAGTTGTAACGTTACCAGTAAATTAGTTTTCACCGATTACACGTACAAGTTCAGAACACACTGACGTAAGACGTCTACTCTGGGTCAATCCAGAGCCATTGAAATTCAAAATTCAACGGCTCTGGGCCAATCATAACATTCTGAGTATTTACTCTGCATTTACTTTATTTGGTCATTTCTGGTTAATGATGTCACAGAATTTACCGGTAATTTGAAACCGATGTGTGAATGGTGCTTTACCGGTAAAAAGACGGAAAGTAGTTGCCTGTGTGTAAACAGTGCATTTTTGTATTTACCGGTAAATTCGTTCCAGTAATTTTACGGCAATTTACTGGTATTACTGTGTGAACAGGACTATTGGCATTGAATCAATTATTTTACAATACTGAAACTAAAGAGGCACTTTAAAAACAGGCTGTGTAATAACTGAAACCATAATCTGCCAAAAGATAAGAAAAAAAACATATTTTATAATGAAATATTTAAAATAAATAATAATAATATTTTATTTCATCTATTTGTCTTGATCTCAGTTCCTAGCTGAGCATGTGGATGCCCTCCAGTCTGACTCTGGGTTTGAGGCGACCATCAGCAAGTTTGACAGTAACTTCAGCACCTTATTGCTGGAGCTTTTGGATAAGCTCAGCATTTACAGCACCAATGACTGTGAACACAGCATGATCAACATCATCTACAGGTGGGTTGTGAAAAGAACCTTTCATTCAAATTTCCTCTGTACATATATGAGTGCTTAGCAATTTAACCTGGCCCGAGCAGTGACAATAGAAATGTGTAGCGCAAGCTTTGAAATCTCTTACTTTTGAAGAGCTTTTACAACCCTCATTAAAATTCAGTCTTCTCAACAGAGGTGCTATGAATAATGAGATGTCTTTTTATAGGCTGGACTTCAATGGCTTCTACACGGAGAGATTGGAGAAAATGGCCATTGAGAGGAGCCAGAAAACTGCTGCGTAGCATCATCCATTATAAAATTCAATTGTTTTTCAAGTGTTCAATGTGCTGATTTGTTGTCTTTTTTCACAAAAATATGTAGTAATGTTACATGGTGCTGTAACATAAAGCACTTAAGAATTTATCACCAAGTCTTGTTTGATCATTTTCTCCTCTCTGTTGGAAATGTATTTAATGGTCTTGTACAAATTTAATGAATTCCACCTGACTGAACACCCAATATAATAAAGGAAGAATGTAGTTTTGTTCACTGTTCTTAATTCTTCTTTCCCTGCCTCTTTTTCTAAACACAACTGTATTACTTTTACAAACTTATTTTCAATGACAAGAAGACGGAGCCTTAATGTGCTCATGGCATTTGCGTTTATCTAAAGAACTATACTTTGTGCTTGAATATGTCTGACAATCCAAACTAAGCCTGACTTGAGCAACATATTCAATTGGGTAACTTTTTACAGAAAATATTAACATCTGTTTTTGCTCCACTAACAAAAACGGTTCCAAATGAAGCCAAAGAAGCTCATCAACAGCCCAGTTGTTCATAAACTGCTTAGACTAGTCTTGAATAGTTTTTTCAAGACTGGTCATAACTTTTTAAGTCTGTTAAAAAAAGGTAGATTGGTGTAATTTGAATCCAAAAAGTAAGACTGATTACCCCTTGGCTAACTGCTAGCTAGTCAAACTAGCTCTGAAGACCATTTTAACAGTGGCTGTGTTAATGCAGCTGGACCCTGGAATCCCATGTTTTGCAATCCAGGATCAAGTAATCTATTTTACTTCTGTGCTGTTTTTTCAAAGCAACATTGGATTAGATCACCCTAATCCAGATACAGACTTTTTCAGATTACCAAATCCAGATTACTAGTGCTCTAAATGGGACTACACGTCACAATGTAGCTATGTAAAGAATGCAGGTAGAATAGTCCATAAACTTGATGATACAAATGTTTCATTATTGTACACATTTTAAAGTTTTATTACTTTTTGTTCCTGAAATCCACACTGCTCCTGAGATCAGGATAATCCGGATTTTTTTTGTTGTTGATCAAAGGTAATCCTGATCAGTTCTGTTTTTGAACAACATATACTGAAAGTTTGATCCAGTTCAAAACCAAGACCGAATTACATGATCTAATCTGATTTCAGAAAACTTTTTTTTTTTTTTTTAATGTAAAGCCCTTTTTCAGGTTTTCCTAAATTTGCCACCTGAACACACACAATAAAATTCAACAAAGTTAAAGCAGCACTATGTAACTTTTGGCGCTCTAGCGATTAAAGGTGGGGTAAGCGATTTTTCAGAAACTGATTCAGGCCGAATAGCAAAACAAACTTGTAGCCAATCAGCAGTAAGGGGCGTGTCTACTCATGATGTGGAGGAGAGAGCGTTCAGTCCGAGCCGAGCGACAGAAAGATAGAGATGGCGGATAAAAAACAAAAGAGGAAAACGTCTGCGGAACAAACGAAGGCTTAAGGCAAGAAGTAGGACCCGTGCTTTGTTTCACAGAACTAATCGTTGCCTGGGTTTCGTACATATGTTTGGGGCAGAGCTATCAAAATAGGGACGAGACCCTTTTGGGGTAGGGGCGTGTTTGTTTTGGTGATTTCAAATGTCAGCATTGGCTAACAGAAATCGCTTACCCCACCTTTAATAAACAGAACTGCACACATCCCGTGGAAGAACATTCCTACCGGAGCTACTTCTCTAAATTTATGTCTATGGCGATTCACGCAGGTATGTGTTAATCCGCAGCGGTGACGACCCGACCAGGCTACAATAGTCCAAATATAAGTACTTATTATAAGTGTACCGTAGTGATTCGGAATAAGACAAAAACACGGTTTGGAAGATGAATTCATGATGTACTCGCTCATTATATACATTTGGCAAATTTTGAACACAGAAAAAGTTACATAGTGCTGATTTAAGTGGTTGAATATGGAAGAACAATACTGACAAATGTCTTTGAAACAAAAAAATGTTGAATTGCACTAACTAAAAAAATAATGCATTGCATTATGCACTTGCGTTCATATTCTGGGCTCATCTGCTTGCCTGTATATAGTTTGCATCATCAAAAAAACTGCTTAATTTGTCCTTCATGGACAAAAGTGGGCACCCATAGGAATGAATGGGAAATACTAATTCAAATAATTTTTTTTATCTGTCCAATAAAAATCTATAAATCCAACACAATGCAGATCATACATACACATAAATGAAGGGGTGAGCCTATACAACATTCTTAATGTGGCAAACACTCATACTCACACTCACACACACAAACAGAGCACTGAATGAGCCTAACAGGCTATTTTTTTTTTTAGTTATTGGTATATTGTTAGTTTTATTGTTCATTGTTTATTCTTACCTGTTTGTTACCATTTACGTTTTTGAGTTATTGTTAGGTATATTATTTATTCTTACCTGTACCAATTACGTTTTTGAGTTATTGTTAGGTTTATTATTTATTCTTACCTGTACCATTTACTTTTTTGAGTTATTGAAATTTGATGTTTTTTGTTAGAAATAAATGATTACTACTTTGTCTTTTCCTCAGATTTGTCTGTAAGCATATTTTGGCATCTTTGTATAGTCTCACCCAACACAAATGTTTTTTTATCCTACAATTTTAACTTGTGATAAAATCTAAAACTTAAAAGAGTTCGTTACAACAATGGTTTATAGATTTCAGCCTATATGCAGACATTGAGTACTACAGCCAAATAGTTGCTATTGATATTTTTCATATTTTGATATTTTAAATTTTTATACCATCATATGTCACCAGATGTCACCAAATTTTTTTATTTTTTTTTTTGCTGTCTGAATTTACTGGAATGATTTTTTTTACTAAAGTAAAAGAAATATTAAATATTACATAAACATAAGCATATTTTACATAAAATATGGTACTTTTAGAGGTAAATACATTTTTAAAAACTCCAAAAATCACAAAAAATTGCATAAATTGATTTTTATTTAGTTTATATTTTATAGAAGATAGTGATAAGACATTTATTTAAAAAAAAAAAAAAAATGGGATCACACCTGAGACCTTCGTGCCCAATACTGCAAATTTGTCCACGAAGGAATTATTCACTCACACAAAAGACGCAATGGCATTATGGTGCATACTGGCCAATGTGACATGGAGAAATAAAATCACCGCTTCTAATACAGATTTGCAGACAAGCGGGGTGATACAAACAGTGTGAAGTGCTCCGCCCTCTTCGGACTCCGCTGGGCCAATTAAATTCAAGGACCAGAACTAAAGGCTCTGGTTTGAACAAGGGTTGCCAACAGGCCGCAAAAACCTCTGAAGAGTGCAGATTCTGAACCCAGACTCTCTGAAGGTAAGGTTAGTAGGAGAATGATGTTCAATTATTGAACCATCATCACAGACAACATCCCCTAAGTCCTTCACAATATGCCAGGAGCGGATCTACTAAGAAAAAGCACCCCAGATTTATCCCAGGATAAAATATAAATGTAAGCAGTGTTTTTTTGTACCGAATTTTAGCAGCTGCACTTTAATGTGATGACATAAAAAAGATGTCCCGTGAAAAAGTTGGGTAAGAAATCTAATCTTAACTAGACTGACATTCTTTAAAGAAAAACTCCATGTTGGCTAATTGACAAGGTCTTTTCTAAAAACGTAAATAGCTTGCAGGTGTTCTGGCCTTCCGTTATGCCTACAGACATTCCTACTTCTGTTAAGATCTTGATGCACTAAACCTGTGATATATATATCATCCAAGTAGCCTAATAAACTCTTTATGTATATTTTAGACCTACTCTAACGAGTTTAGAGACATTAGAATGTGTTGAGCATTTAATAGACAGTGTCTTGGTGCCCTGGCCTGGATATTAATATTTTGTTATAAAAGGTCCAAGCACCAAATGTTAATTTAGCCACCCTACTCAAAACACCCACAAATTCAGAAACGGCCAATTTTGCTCTGCAGAGACCTCAATCTCACTGGAGGGGCACAGGAACCTTTTAATCCCAATCTTTTTCTATTAGTTGCCATCTCTTTGAATGCAAATAAATGCATAGATTTAGTTCATTTGTATGAGTATGGTGTACTGACAGTATAGTTTTATATAATTAGTGTACAGTGAAATGTAGATAATTAAACATTTTTAATAGACTCCAATAAAACATGTATTTTCAAGTTGTCAAAATGATTAAATAAATTGCTATCCATTTAAAAACGAAAAGGCAGTTTTATTTGTCCTTTTCAAAATAATATATATTATAAAAAACACATTTACTATTGTGGTCGAATAATGAAACAAACACTTAAACTGCAAGCATTACTATACATAATTATAAATTATAAAAATAAAAGAGCCTTCAGCCTTGAGATAAATGGTTCAGATATATTTTTGAGCTACAAATGACATCTTCACATTCATTTGAAATTGACATCCTATGACATGCAATTTGTCTAAATAAAAAATGTTGAATATAAGTCCACACTTGCACCACATATATTATGATCACATAGCTTATTATGACAGTTAACATGTTTAGAGGGCTATTTCTGACTTCTCGTTTAAACAATAAGAGGGGGTGATTTCTTTTCAAAAACAGTTGCCCTTTTTGACAAATGTGTATTGATATAACCATCAAACCATCAACATTTCAGTGAAGATTCAAGTTGGATTTTCCTGTAAAAAATATTAAAATTCATTTCAGTTAGATCGCTATAATGCACATGGGCCATGCTTGGACCCTGATGGTTGCTGCTTGTGGCTATATTTTGTTTTTAATTGTAGTATATAGATTAAGTATAGATGATTGAATGCTTGTTTGCTTTGGTGTTGCCACCCTACAAATAATTTTCTACATCCGTCCCTGCAATATGCCAATTATGTGTCTTATGTTTGTTTGAACGTCACAGCACTCGATGTGATTCTATGTGATTCGTGCGATGCACCGCTAGGTGGCGCTTGTCCCTCATCCCTTAAACTTTACAATGAGATCAGTAACTTTGGTGTATTTGGCTCAACATGCAATGAATAATCTCAAATAAAATATTAAATGATGAATCAAAAGTATTTCATAATTTAAAAGAATTACTGTGGGAAAATACATGTGAACTGAACCGGTAAATTAGGCAGTCTGCCACATTGTGTCACTGAAGTAAGTCCACACCCTTCACAAACTCCCAAATGGATGAGGGCACTGCAATGAGCACACGGTCTCACAAACAGAGAGACATCACTATGAAAGTGCAG